AGAAAACAAAACCAACAGAGGACTTGTTCCAGAAGCCATTCTGTGATAATTGCAGTGCTAAAAGCTATAAGAGTATGGAAACTGAATTAGAAAATGTGAATTCTTCTCCACCACATAGAGACAAAACATCAAAATTGTATCTAAATGAAGGATTACAGCAGGATATGCAAAGATTTAAGAATGAGATAGGCATGTTACAAGTAGAGTTCCTGGTTTTGGAGAAAGAAAAAGTTCAACTTCAAAAAGAGGTAGAGGTTGTCTTGCTTCTGCTCTGTTTTTCTCTTTATTAATTATCTGATCCATTCTGATTTTCTCCTTATGAAAAGCTCATGTGTAAAGTGGCATTATCTAAATATGTAATTGTGTCTTAAAATAGATTATTTCTGCTGTGTAAACAATAAGAGTTCAGGAAAACATTCTTATAGTTTTCGTTCCTTAATCAACCTGAGTCCTTCTACCAGTCTTCCCAGTGGCATAGGAATTGGGAAACTAATTTAGCTATCTGTTATGTGACCTTCTGAACCAGGATTAGCATAAAAGAGATTGCTAAAAAAAGTAATAAGCTCTAGGCCCCCCATCCCCCACCATTAGCTTAAGGATAAATGGCATTTATTTAAGCAATAAAATGGGAATAAAGTGGGAAGGAAGCAATGAAGCAATGACTGAGAATGGATATAAAATGTATCTAATCTTGGGAGTTGCAACAAATATTCCCAGCCAAACTAATCTGTTTATTGTGCTTTCATGTATTTAGGTTTATCTGCTTTATTCTCAAGCCATTATAATTCCAACATGACCACTTTACATGTTTTTGACAACAAATATATATACTTCCACATATTTTTTTTTAATCACCACTTTGAAATGTTTCTGTTGAATCAGACCTTTACATTATGTTGTTTAAGAAACCATGGTAAGTTTTATATGTATGGTAAGTTTTGGTATTAATATATAAGTAGCATAACTCAGCCAAAAATTCGGTATTTGAATCCAAAGTAAAAAGCTGAGATATGAGGTACATTGACTTTTAAAGATAAAAATCTAGAGGTAGTCTGTAAAAAGTGAAAGTAGTAAGGCCTCCCACAGCCCACGAAGGCATTAAATTACTTTTAATTTCCTACTAATTTGATGAATTTATCTGGTAATTTATCTTATTCAGCATGAGAAACTTGTATCATCTCTTTTGGTGTCATAAAAGGCTAGATAATGTCACTTTAGGAGCTTTGGACCTGTCATGTAACCTTGTTGGTTTTACNAATAGAGTTATTTTAAAAACATGCACCCTGAAAAAAATGACATCTGAGAATCAAACCAAGCAAATTAATTTTCCACTTTTGCACCTGCAAAAAATGTCTCAAGAACCAGAAATGAGTAAGGATTGTGATAGAGTAGATATATGTGTATATTCAGGACTTCCTTTTATGCAAAAAAGTATGAGATGTGGATCAAAGAAGGCAAATTACAGTGGAAAAATAACTTAAAACTCATCACCAACAAGTTAAAGCAGAGGTTTGGTGAAATTTGTGAAAAATACAAAATTACTGCTTGTCCTGAGGAAGAGCCACTACAGGATAACTCTAAAAAAGGAGCATATTTAAAGGAAATACCCTCTAATTTGACAAATAATATACTTGATTGTGAGGGAAAAGATGCATTTGGAACCTCTGTAGTCTTCCAGGCATTTCCTGAACAAAAAGAAGAACCCAGTCTCAAAAATATCTTTCCATCTCCTTCATATTCTGGGTCCCCAGAATACACTTGCCAGTCATCTTCTACGCTTTATTTAAATGAAAATAAATTAGACTGTGAAAATGATAACAAACCAGACACTGAATGTGTTTTTAACACACATGAGAATTTTTATAATGATACAGAAAATAAAAAAGGCAGGAACCCAGAAGTAGTTACAGTTGAAATGAAAGAAGACCAAGAGTTTGATATGCAAATGACAAAAAATAACATCCAAAATACCACTAATGGGAAATTAGACATTGAATGTATGCCTCAGTCTAGTGATCCAAAAAGTCTTTTAGATGTGTGGCTTACCCACTCCAAAGAAAGGTAGCATATGATTCAAATAAAAAGACATGCTAAGAAAACAAAACCAACAGAGGACTTGTTCCAGAAGCCATTCTGTGATAATTGCAGTGCTAACAGCTATAAGAGTATGGAAACTGAATTAGAAAATGTGAATTCTTCTCCACCACATAGTGACAGAACATCAAAATTGTATCTAAATGAAGGATTACAGCAGGATATGCAAAGATTTAAGAATGAGATAGGCATATTACAAGTAGCGTTCCTGGTTTTGGAGAAAGAAAAAGTTCAACTTCAAAAAGAGGTAGAGGTTGTCTTGCTT